CGATCATATGGAAACCAAAGTTCTGCGATCTGCGATCAAAACGTATCCCATAATATTTTGAATTCCGACCCATGATTCAACGCTTCTTAGCAACAAAGCCCGAGAATTCGTTTGTAGCAACCGCTTATTTGTTGTAAACATGGCTGGCGTTGAACAAGGTAACGTTAGTAACGAGGAATTTATGGAGGAAGTTGCGCGATATGAGTACGTTTACCACCGCAACAGTAAAGACTTCAAAGACAAAAACAAAAAGGCTAACTCCTGGAAAAAAATCGGGGAGAAATTTAATTTATCGGCGGCGGAGGCGGAGGTCAAATTCCGCAACATAAGAACTGCGTATGGTCGTTATCTGAAGCGACTGAAAACGGTTCCTTCTGGATCGGGGCGAGATGCAGTGCCAAGAGAATTTCAAAATCTAGAATGGCTCAATCCACATATTGCTCACAGACCATCAAGCACAAATCTGAGATCAAAGTCACCAGTTGGAACAGTTGAGAGCTCTTCGTCGCCAAGGAGTGACAATGAGGACGACTTCGGCGCCGAGGTCTCGGATGAATCTGAAGAAAGTGTATCCTTGAGTACTACTGATGATTCCATACAAACGGAAAGCCCTGAATTTGAGGACGTTAATGGAAGTAACCGAGTCAATAAAGAAACAACTGGAGAGTGTTCCAATGGAAAGACCCCAAAATCATCAAGAGGCATGCGAGCCTGGAGTGCAAATGGGAAGAATTCTGGAGCTGACGTGGATAAAGCTATCATGAGCACCGCAAATTCCATTGCAGAACACTTAAAACAAATTGGAGCCAAAAGAAAGCAGACTGAAGAACCGGAAGATGAAGACAGTTTGTTTTGTAGGAGTTTAGTTCCAAGACTGAAGCGACTCCCCTCTCAAAGCAGGGCCTTTATAAGGCTTCAAATTGAACACCTGCTATACCAAACTGAGTTTACAGGACCTCAAACACAGCCTAATTTTCCCCAGGGTGGTTATGGACACTCTGACTATTCACACACCCATGGAGTGAATCGCGAAGAAAATCCTCAAACTTCTAGAACATATTTTCAGTTATGAAACGAATAGCGTTCAAGCATTGTTCGATGTAAATCTAAGAACCTACTGATAATAATTCAAGTTTTTGGTGACATTTATGGTCATTTACCATTGGTTCAGTTATGAAATATTGAAACTTTTTTCTTAAAAAAGTTGAAAATTAATTAAGATATCAACAGCAAATTTAACAATGTCGTTCCAGTTATAAAGAAGCCCACAGGCCAGATTTCTTGATCTTGAAATAAGTTAAATAATGATCGATTCATATGTGGGGGTATATATTTTATTAGAATCAATCACAAACAATGTTCCAGTTATTATGTATGGAGAATAGTTATACCAAAAAAGAACATTGGTTAATTGTCAATTACTGATTCCTACTGATAAGTTGAATAAATTTTCTGAAAAGA